TGAACCTAACTGAAGATACACACTTCATTACCAGGTTCACAAAATTAACACTGAAGCCAAGCTTGAGCATGATAGCCTGTAGATAATGCCATTCCACCCTATCGTAGGCCTTCATCATGTCGAGCTTAACGGCACACGTATAGTTCTTCCCTTTCTTCCGCCTTCTCATGGTATGAACACTTTCAAAGGCCACAACCACGTTATCAGTAATCAGACGGCCGGGAACAAAGGCGCTTTGTTCCTCACCCACCACTGTGTCCAATATCTCTTTGAACCGGTTAGAGATCATTTTGGCGGCAATTTTATACGGAACTGGACACAAGGAGATGGGACGGTACTGAGATATCCTTTGAGGGTTCCTTACCTTCGGTATGAGAGTTATGGAAGTGTCATTGAAACCAAACGATATATCTCCCCCATTCAGAAAGCCAAGAATCGCCGGCACTAGGTCTCCTTCGATAAGATCCCAGTGCCTTTGGAAAAAACCCGCAGTAAACCTGTCGACACCCGGGGCTTTGGACGATGACATCTGAAACAGAGTTGTCCTCACCTCATCGGGCTGGAAGGGTTTATCCAGGGATGCATTCATGTCCGCTGTAACACACGTCGGTACAAAGTTCAGCAGTTCATTCATATCATTTACTCCTTGGGAAGAATATAGATCCTGATAGAATGCATGCACTTCTGCCTTGTCTTCAGCTTCAGACGCACAAACAGACCCATCTGAACGTTGAAGGTTAGCAATACGGTTCATCCTCTTTCGCTGCGCGGCCTGTGCATGGTAATATGCTGTATTTCGATCACCCTTTCTCAGCCATGGCACTCTTGATCGCTGCCGAATCCAAACCTCCTCTTGCCTCAGTGCTTCTCTAAGTTTCAACATTGTAGCCTTTTCCTCATCGGACGGTCCCCTGCCAATAGACTGACATCTTAATTTTTCCAATTTTGCTTGCAGTTTCCGAACCGTTTTCGCAAGACACCCGAACTCCTTAGCACCCCATGATCCCAACTCAGTTTGAAGGAGTTTCAAGGTGTTTTGGATACTTGCAAGCCCTTCCCCAGTATGATTCCGTCGCCATGCCTCAGCAACAACCTTGTCATACTCGACGTGGGACTGCCACACGTCCTCATACCTAAACTGTTTTGGAGGGGGCGTGGGCGGTTGCGGGCGTCGACAGGCGCGGTGGGGGCGCGGTACAGCAGCGGCAACAACGACAGCCACACGCACGCTCATACGCACGTGTACGCCCGAGATCGGGCACTACGGTGAAGGCGGCCTACGGCGTCCAAATCGAACGGGAAAAAGGGGATCCGAGGGAGGAGCTCACCCCGGTCCTTGTGGACGAGGTTAGGAGGTCGGGGGAGTCCCGGAGCAGCGGCAACGACGATGAGGCGGTGGCGGCCGTGCGGAGAAGATGAAGATGACGACGGCTACGCAGCGCCTCGGCTCAAATCGATGCCCGGAACGGACGAAGGCGGCCTTGGTGGACCTCCTGGACGTGCTCCTGAGGGATGGCGAGGACGGTAGCCGCGGTAACAAGGGCGAGATAATGGTGACCGCAGAGCTTTCGAGCTCGAAAACGAGCAGATGAGGAGTGGGGCGAAGGGGGATCCAGGGGGGGCTGGACGAGGTGGGGGCTAGGGTTTCTTTCGACGTAGTTATAAGCTCAGGGAGGCGACGTGGAGGGCATCCACGGCCATGGCCGTCGTGGATGTGCGCCACGCACACCCTCTGTTCCTGTAGCGGGAGGTAGGAGAAGGTTTTGGTCGGCTGGGCCGTGTGGCCACTTATGGCCCAGTGGCACCTTAGTTTAGGTCCGTTTTACTTTTTTCCCTTTTCTTTGTATTTTCAGATCCTATTTTGTATTAGGTTGGGCCATCAAATGATTTTTGTTATATATGAAACTTGCCATACAATTACTATGTAATATTTGTGAAAGCCACAAAAAGTTTGGAGCTTAACTAAACTCATTTGAATTTTGCTTAAATACAAATGGATTAAAAAGGCTGTTCTGGGCACTGTTTTAAATAGGTTAGAGGCAACTTAATATCCTAGATAATATTGGATTATTCATGAAAAATAGTTAGTGAAATATTGCAACCCAGCGAACATTTGTGTTTTACCGTTTGCAGAATTAATAATTCGACTTTCTTTTTCAATTTGAATTTGAATTCGGTTTCAAACTAACGCGAGACTAGCAACAGTAATCGAGGTGACGTGGCATCATTAGCGGAGGTTCATTGTAGCTTAAGTATCCAGGCGTCACACTTTCTGACCATTTCTTCACCCCTCTATCCATTCAAGCTCATCAGCAATTTCAGGAAGTGACTGATCTCATGCAAAACACTCAACTTAGCAATGCTCTAGACTCATGGAGATTTTCTTGGAACCAACAAAACGATGGATATTCTTCAATCAAAATGTATAAGCAGCTGCAATCAAAAGAGATAGCTTCACCACTTTTCAAGAGCATCTGGAGAAGTGTTGCAATGCTGAGATATAAGATTTTTGTCTGGTTGATCCTGCATGACAGAGTAAATGTCCTGTCCAGAAAGAAGTTCCATCTGCCCAATTACAATTGTGAGATTTGCAACTGCGCTTGCGAAGAAACCAGTCTTCATCTTTTCTGGGACTGCCCTTTTGCTTTGTCATGTTGGGATTCCATTGTTCCTGCCAGGGAGAGAGGCATCAACACCTTCGATGAAATAACTTTACTGCTCAAGCATTTGCCAAAACAGTTTGCAATGAGCATAATTACCATGGGATGCTGGCACATTTGGATGCAGAGGAACTCCAAAATATTCGATGCTAAAAATCCTTCAGTGCAAGCTTGGAGAAGTCTACTCAGAGAAGATCTCACGAAGATTGTATTGAGAACCAAAGAGAAACACAGGGAAGCTTTCAGAGGATGGATTACAGATAATCTAGCTTAATTCATTATGGATTTTCCTCCAACTGGTATTGGTTAGATGGTTTGGGTGTATTTTATTTATGTAAATAACTTCGTTTAACTTTGAATGAAAATTACCGTAGAACGATTGTTCTACGGTCTTTGGTTCAAAAAAGAATCCTTAGGATTTTTCTTCTGTGTTGGTTGTTTGATTCATAGGATTAAATCCTATATAATTTCTTTCTAAGGATTTCTTTATACTAATTCCCATATGATTTCTAGCTTCCGCTCAAACCTGTTTGAAAGAATCATTTGTTTTTCCTGTGATGCAATCAAACAATCCAGAATCATGTAGGATTGACATGGCCATGACATTGCAATCCTATGTTTTTCTTTTTCCCGTATTTTTAGAATCATGCGAATCAAAGAGCCCTTACTAAGGATTAAGGAATAGGGACTGCATTTTGAATCCCGTGTAAGATCAATCAACAGTCATTGTGCACCGGGAAAAAAAGTCATTGTGCAGAGCATGGCGATACATTTCTCAGCTTCTGCAGAATTATGAACTTTTCCGATGTTTAAAAGCCACACCAAATATATGCCTAAGGCTGAGAAAAAAAATAGCTAGGCACATCTAAATTAGTCAAGAACAACACCTTCTCTGCATTAGCATTACCGCCAGAGAATCACTATGATTGCAAGAACATCAACCTAAGGAAAAGCTGCCACAGGGAGGTTGGATGCCTTATGCACAGGCTGAGGCACTTGTTTGTTGTAAAAACACTTAAGCTCTGCTTGGGTTGGGACTTGGGAGTATCTTTTCTGTGTGTTTCCGGTATTTGGGGAGCACACAAAAATCACTCAATCCAATTCCAAGAAGGGCCAGAAGAGTGTCAAAATAATTTAGTTCAACAATCAACATGCATTATCAGCAAAGAAGCACAAGGAAAACCACAAGAAGCATGACCAGTGTTCAAGGAAATTCCAGAGTGTGATAAGCAATGTATGCACAAAGTCCATCTTAGATTGGGAGCATGCAGATGCATAGCCTTGAATAAAATCATTCATGTGTGAGAAACTCAAAAAATGGTAGAGCCAAAAATATCAAAGAGATCGATGGATGATAACAGTACAAATAATGTAAGGTACCTATTACAGGTAAGAACTAAACCAAAAGGAGATGCTTTTACAAAATCTCAGTGGTAAAGATATTGTCCTATAGCTTACAAGCTTGACGCTGATAAGGTTAAAGTATCAGGCACAATGACAAGGAAAGCACAAAAATAAATTCAACTACTACCTCCGTAACTAAATATAAGACATTTGTATTTCGTTACAGAGGTAGTAGTACAAAATAAGTTTCAGGTATTCACATGCAACAATCTTCACAGTGAAACCATTACACTCAGCCTAAATCAATTACTACAATAAGTCTTGCCAGCAGCTTCACATGCAACAATCTTCACAGTGAAACCATTACACTCAGTCTAAATCAATGACTACAACTCCACATTCAGAAAATTAACTTTAACTAAAGATAAGACAAGCGAAACTAGTCACAACATAAGTACTCCCTCCGTTCACTTTTGTAAGTCATTTCAGACAACTGAAAATAGGCTACTTTGCATGCTGTCTGAAATTCTTCAGCGCCTTATCTTGTGAACAGAGGGAGTAGTAAACTTCTGCAACACGAAACCTCAAAATTCCGCCCAAATCATAGTCTAGAATCTAGAGTCTGAAGTCAACTGAGCATAACCAAAAGGCCAGCCAGCGCATCAGGGATGGCGATTATTTTCAGAACTATCATACCACAAGAACTCCTGCCAGCAGCGCCACGCGCAACAATCTTCACAGTCAAACCATTCAACTCAACCTAAATCGAAGTCTACAACTCCACATGCAGAAAATTAACTAAATACTTATAAGACAAGAGATACTAGCCACCTCATTAATAGTAAACTTTTTCAACATGAAACCTTAAATTCCGGTCAAAATGAGTCTGGAATCTAGAGCCAAAACTCAATTGAACATAACCAAAAGGCCAGCCGGCGCATCATGGATGGCGATTATCTTGAGTGAAACCTCAACAAGTAAACATTCAGAGTTCGTTTAGTGCCCCAAGATGTTGATGCCACCGTCAAAGGGGTCGGATAGAGCATTCACACCTTCTGTGGTGAAGTCCTTGCGTTGTTTCATACCCTCAAACACGACCTCGGCTTCCAGGGAGGCCATGTTGCTTTGGCTGAGCAGATTTTGCTGCTCCGTAACCCATTTTGGAACGTCACACATCTCGGACTGAATCCTCATGAACTGCAGCACATGTGCTCTAGCAAGGAGAAAACATGCAAATTCAAGCATGCCAGGGTTGTGTTGTTCGCATTCCAGTATAACGCTCTTGAGATATCTCGCAACACACCTGATGGGATAACGCTTCTGGTTGTAGTCAGAGACAGTGGTGTAATCCTTGTCTGCACCTGACCTGTAATCCGAGGACTGCACAAAGTGATGAATCAGTGGAAGGTCTGATCAACTAAATTTGACAGCTATAGTGAACAAGAAACAAAGCAATGGAACAGTTCAAGTTCTGGAAATTACCTGGAAATGCAAAGTCTCCAAGCAGGGAAAGCTGTCGAGTAAGCTCATCACCTTCTCCATGTCCTTCTTGCTTGAGAACTTCACACTGATAGCCAGGATCTTCACGCTATGGATCGGGGCACGCAGACCCTTGTTGACGCCCTGCAGTGTATGAGCGAAAAATCCCATCAAGTCACTTTGCTGAACTTGCTCTACTCAAGATACTTGCTGACGGTAACAGAAATACGCAAAATACCTGCGGCGCACGCTCGCCGTGGAACAAATGCGGGATGCTGACCACGGCATAGCCAAAAGCAGTAAGCTTTGGCGCACCAGTGATGGTAATGGCTGCATTCAGACGCATATTGCCGAGAAGGCGCTCCAGACAAGGGGCATCCTCCACGGTGATCTCGTCGAGCTGCTTGTAGTGCCACACACCGAGCAGAACGAGACTGCGGCAAGAAGAGACGCGGATGCGCTGAAGGCCGTGGACGTGCTTGAGCACGAGGCTGCGCAGCGCGGGGCAGCCGGAGAGTACGCTCTGAAGAGCAGCCTCGGAAATGCAGGTTTCCGACAAGGTGAGCTCGGTGAGGGCGGCGGCGGCGGCGGCTGAGGCCCCGGCGTCGGAGAGGTGGCACTTGCCAAGGGCGAGGACCTGGAGGGTTGGGCAGCCGAGAAGGGGGTCGGCGAGCGCGTCGTGGCACCACTCGGGCGAGAAGCAGAGGGAGACCTCGCGGACGCACTTGGCGGCGAGCTGCCGGAACCAGGCCTCGGCCGCGGGGACGCGGCCGCGGAAGGAGGTCCGGGAGAGGCGGAAGAGCGCGACGGGCGTCGCTGGCGTTGCGCGGTCGCGAGAGGGGCCCCGCCATCTCGCCGGCGTTCGCCGCGGCGCGGTACCTGGGGTTTTTAGAGAGAGAGAGAGAGAGAGCGCAGGTGTTGCCGCTCGGGCGGTGCTTGCGGTGGTGGTGGTGGATCGGATATTTTGATGCTTCCATAGTCCATATAGCTTGCTTGGTGGCACCATGCTCCCTTCTCATAAAGTTCAAATTTATAAGTTTTAAGATCGTTCAAAAAAATTTGTGGACATTCACAAGATATGTGTCTATAATCCCTGAACATAATACCAAAATTCAAAATAAAAGACAAATCCAACATAAATAGTGTTACCAAAAAACAAAAGTCAAATGATACTATTCACATATGGATTTGCCTTTTTCTTTCTCTGCGTCTCTTTTTTGGATTTGAATTTTTAGGGATGATAGGCACATATCTTGTAAACATCCACAAATATTTAGAAAACTAAAAATTTAAAATTTAAGTTTTGTGATACGAGAGTGTTGTAGCACATAATCCATGGAAGAAGATGTTTTCCTGCATTGTTGCACAAAGTCATTGAAAAGGGATTTCATAACATGTCGCAAAAAAAACTCATGATTGGATTTTCCTTGAGTTACAGTTCTTCATAATATGAATTTGTAAACGAGTACCCAAGGGGCGTTCATGTTCCTAGCAAACACAACAGAACATTTCATTTATATTTGTCTCTGTTCAACAAAAAAATATACTCCCTCCTTCCCATTATTTAAGGCGTATTAGCTTTCATAGGAAATCTCAATATATAAGGCGTGTTAGCTCTCCCCGTGCTATTTTCTCTCCCGTACAGTTAGCCCACTAGTTTTTCTCGTACGGTTAGCATTGGGGTGCGCAGTGCGATGGGTATTTTCAGTTAAATGGGATCGGTCTACTAGGTTGTTAGAGGAGATCGTGGGGTCCTCGCCTGTACGATTCATAAACCACCACCATGCGTTAATTTTCGTGCCAGAAAGTTATACGCCTAATATAATGGGAAGGAGGGAGTACATATTTTTATAAATATTTAGCTCATTTAATTACTAACCCAACTTTGAAATTTTCAAGTTCAATCCACAAACTTCTTGGCTCAACTCAGAGATCCAACAAATTAAATGATTGTCACTTAAATTCCTCAACCAACCTCGCGCTATAATAACATGTTCCTATCCCTACTTTTGTGATGTTTAGAATTTTGTAGTATTACAAAGTTGTCAATTCTTATAGGATAACGAAAAATACTTCATTGCAACGTAAGTTGGAGCGAGTTATCCAATAAAATATCGATGAGATATGTTCAACACTAACATAACCTACGTCAACTCGGACTAGCCCATGTGGCACTTATTTATCTTTGTCTTACACACATTGATCTCACAACTTGTAAATGACATGTGTAACCTTTTAGATGCCCATGTTCTGTAGAAGATAGTATGCATTTGTTGGTAACATTTGAGAAAAAATCAAGTCACAACTCCAGTCAAGCACATTT